TTTGGTCTACATTAGCTTAATCGTAGTACATGTCATGTGCGCAGGCAGTCCCATACCGGGTCACTGTCTGGTATTTGACAATTCACTCCAAAGTTGCAACGGACCTTAGGTTGTGTCACAAGTACCGTTGTGAACACACCTTAGTAGCGCGCGCGATCACTACCTCTACTTTTTTTCTTTTTCCTCTAGCTGTTTGTTGCGCGCGCATTCTCTCTCGTTATACTACTCGTTTGGCGCATGCGCGATGCTACTCTTTTATCGCGCGCTTTCTTGTTGCTTCGTGTTTTAGCCGGGTGTCATGGCGTCGAGCCCTTTGTTCAACCGTCACTCATGATGCCGACTTTCAATTGCATTTAATTCTCTAACAAGGCTATGTCACTCGCGAGAAATCTAATGTTACTATTTCTCTATGTTTACGTTGTTGCCTCTAACCTTGATCCGAGCCATGTCTTTACGCCACTGCACGATAAAACGCGACAGAAAAACCGCACTATTCTGCAATTTTATTAATGTTGTAAATTTACTTTAGGATTCCAGCCTTCTTATTAATTCGCTCTAATATGTTATTCCGTCTCTTTTTCTAATGATTACGCGCTCGATATTTTTATTAGTCTACGACTGACTAAATGTTAAATAAAAGTATTCGTTCTTCGAGTATTTTGCGTATTCGGAATGCGACACTTTCCTTGTGTTTATTAGCTCACTTTGCTTTTTTTATTTATCGCGAACTCGTGTTGCTCAGGTAGATTCTTTTTAGCTCACATTAATAATTTTTTAACATACCTCTATGGTTCGCAAAATTTTTTGTTGTTGCGCAGCGGAAGCGTGGCAGGGCCTATAACCTGTTGGACTACTGGGATAAATTGAAAATAACAAACACCTTATATTATTTAAGAATATATATATATAAGTAAAGCCGTACAAATAGTTTTCTCTAATAATATTCAACCTCTAAATGTTTTTACTAATACACTAATTCAAATGTAACACAAAGAGAACAAGAATAATTGACAGAGCTCCGAGTCGATGGACGAATGCGGTTGGAATACAGAGCACGCCAGCCTAGCAGCGCCGCACAGCGAAGACGGCGCGGCGAGCTCCCGCGCACATGCGCACAGTATTCCGAACAATTTTCTATGCTTTTTTTCTTTATGTTGTAGAAAATACTTTATTCAGACTAGAAAACGTCTATGTAGAAGCATTTAAATCAGGAAAATTAACTACAGGTGAGTAAGTTTTTGTTTGTTATAATACAATAATGAAGGAAACGGGTCATCAACGAATAATATTTTGATTAAAGATCTTTCTCAAGTTTGGTTAAAAAAATTATTTCATCCACACTTAAATCCTGAATCTATATTATTACTCGACTCATGGTGTGGACACTATGATAAAGTTATAAAAGAATCAATACCAGAAATTAAAATTGTTAGAGATAACTATCTAAAGATATCTAAAAAAAGATCAATAAGAACAAAAGGAATGTATATGAATTTCGAATTTGGAAAAACTGTCTACGACATTTCTAAATCAAATGACTGATGGAATATAATTTAAATATACATTTGGGAAATAATATCATAATAAAAACGCAATGATTAATTCTGCTTTCTTTACCGAAATATTATAACGAGTTTGACGTCAACTCGTTATGTCTTTCTCTCTCTCTCTATGACCATAATATTAAGAATATCATATATTTATAATGTTACATTATTTGAACTATATTTCTCCTTAGCAGCAGACAACTGCGGAGAAGGTACGAGAGATCGCCGGCAGAGAGAGACCGAGTGCGCGTGTAAGCATAGCGATATGTATGACGAGCCGCGCGCTACGGGCCGCGTGACGAAGGGCCAGCAATTAGCCGATAGCTCGTGAGCCGTACAGAGGCATTCGGTTGTGTGTGCGTTTATATTAGCTTTTCTTTGTGAATCGCCTCGCGGCAACAGAGAGACTTTTGATTGTGACAAGTGAGAGAGGTGCAACTGTGCGTGCAATACCTCTCCTCCTTCGCGACAAGCGACAGCACAGTTAGGCGAATTCTGCAATCTTGCCGAATCGTAATTGAGGGCCTTTGATTAATGTATTGACAATTCCATAAATCTCTCTCTAGCTTTGCCTATCTCGCCGTTCTCTCTGAACCGTCCTGTACACTGACTCGTACATAAACTTTATATATTCGTATATTATTAAAACTGCATGGCTTTTCTGTCGTACTACTTATCCTTCCTATCGATTCCCTCAACTTTCGCGATTTAAGCTGCGTGACCAACGACGCTCTCCGCGGGCCTGTTGGCGATTTGACCTACCGGGCCGGTCTTGCGTAGCAGAAAACGCAGTGCCGCGAAGAGCTGCATTTGTGCCAGCCACTACTCAATCTCGGTTTAATTAATATATTGTAGCGGTCTAAATCCCTGTTACAATATAAGAATATGTTCAAATATTCCTCGTACAAAAATGGTTACATTAATGAAAAATCAGATAAACTTGACAAGTCTGTTGAGTTCTGTGTATAGGGGTCTAGTCTGATTTTTTTTTTGGCTTTTATCTCTGCATGACTGCAGACTCTATATCTAAAATTTTAATTGATGTTGTATCAATCTAGCGGCGCCGTCTTACCTATATGTAAATGTGTGGAAACGTGTTCTCAAAATTTTGACCACATACGGAGCGTGACGTCACTGTATTCCGTATTTTCTCGTTGATTTTCACAACATTTTTCAAAAACATTACATAAGTGCTTTTACAATAAATCGAAAACACTTTTCCTATACCTATGGATACGTAAAATTCGAATACGTAATTTTCAAACGGATTTAATAACACAGGCGCACAAAAAAAGTAGGTGGTCTGCATAAAAAACGACATACATATATTGCCGTGTATTTTGCCATGCTGAATCTGAATGCGCAGTCAGTTTGACCCCACTAGGTCAGGACCAAGGGCATTTGAAGGTCAAACTCAGGAAAAAGTAGTTTTAAAAAATGTAACTAGTATTTCTAGGGTTTTGTGGGTTGTTAAATCTGAATCTAGAATCTATTTGATCTCAATTATTTCCAAGATCAAATGTGCACATTTTACAAAAAGTTATATTTTGATTGTAGATTTTGAACATATTGAAAATTTTAAGTTCGGGTATAATATATTTCATTATTTTATAGCGACTTTGTATGTCATTTCAAGGTCATCGAATGTTGATATCTTGAAAATAGCAACTCCATAAAAGTATTAGTGATTCCTCCTTAAATAGTTTTTTCTCCAAATTAGCCATCGAATACCCTTGAACTCAGTTTATTTTGACTGACAAGAAATACAGAGTCCAAACTTTTCAAAATAATATACCTATGTGTTACATTTGAAAATTCTTGTACGTACAGTGATGTAACAATATTACTATTATACATTGTGATTAGTGTAAAAAGTCTTTATGTTTCAAGCATTTTTTTGAAGATAACACAGTGTCACAAAAGAAAACTTCTCAGTGGATTGAACTAAATATTTTTATATTTTTAATGTTCACATGTATCGATGTTTCTCTGGTATGCAGTTTAAGTGGAACGTCGCCATGTGCTCGTTATCTGGCCGTCGCACGCTCACTATCTAGCCGATCAGGACTTTCTTTTTCTCCTTTATATTGCCGGAGTTTCACTGATTCCGTCCAGACTACTTACACATGACAACCTTTGGTTTTTCCCGATTCCACCCCGATTATCTACATCCGTCGACAACATTTAGGGTCGCTGAATCCGAATTCAGTATCCGTTTGTCGCGATCAGATCAGGTTTAAGATCATTTCAAGATCAAATCTTGGACAAATAGTCAAGTCAATTTAAATTACTCTTATTATATATTTTTAGGATCACTGAATTCAAATCTGTTATCCGTTTAGTTCGAGAAAATCAAATTTAAGATTATTTCAAGGTCAAATATGTTTATTCTGCCAAAAATGAATTTTTGACTGCAGATTCTCAAAGAATGAAAAATTATTTTTCTAGATATGTCTTTTAGTTTTTTTTTCATCATGACCCAAAGGTTATTTGAAGAACACTTATGTTGTAATATAAATGATTTATATGTCAATTACAGTTAAACTAAAACGGACTTTCTACCCTTTTACCTAGTCCCTCTACGTCCATTCTACTCGCGCTACGTCGTATTTCGCGTCTTTTCAGCTAACGCGACGTATCCATGCCATCTCAGCAGCACAGAAAATGACGCAGACGCATTCCTAACGACGCACCTAGCGTGTATGAGATATATATAATTATATCTCTTATGTCAATGGGGTGAACCGGGCTAATTCCCCATTATAAAGTTCCCTATCTTTCGGTACAACCAACACAAATACTAATAAAAAAGAGGAACATGTATCCTGTTCGAAGAGATGCTATAGAAAAAACTTTTACATTTAATTAGTGGACACCATATTCTGCAGTTTTTTCTCAGATCAACCTTTAAAGCGGCTAGAAAATAAGGGGAAGAGACGAAGGAAAACGCGCAGCAGATTACGTAAATGATAGTGCGAAAAGGTTAAGAAAATAATTGGATAGCATTTATTATTAAAATCAATTGGCAAAAGTAATGCAGCAAAATGAATACACACGTAGTAGTAAATTTCAAGGGTGTGTGGCGCAATAACAAAGCAATATTTTACAAAGGATAATTTAGAAAAGAAAATTGTAATAAATCGCAAACGTAATTTGTGAGCTCATTATAGCGCTTGGTTGCGGTCAACTAACATAATGCAAAAGTAATGATAATAAAAAAAATAATTAGTGAAGCAGTGTTCGACACGACAAGCAACCAAATGGGAGCAACGGCTCGTAGTGACAATTGATAAATATGCGGTGAATGCGACTGGATCAATCTCAAATTAACCGGCAAATTCAAGGCAAAGCTATGGAATGAACTCACAACTAAGAGCGCGATAATCAACAGACCCGAACTGCATGAGTGATGAGCAACGAATATGATCTCTTAATACGAACTCTCAACGTAACTTACTTAGGCTTGTGTGCGACAACACCTTGTCGAGATTCGCTTCGCGGATAAAAAACATCCGCTCGAGGTTGCGGCTGGAAACTTTCTTCATCATTTGTGCCCCTCTTCTCCCTCATTTGCATAATTTTGAGTAGACGACAGCAGACGACGGCAGGTATAGATGTGTATCGTGTTGGTGTGAGGCCAGCAATAACCTTGATCGTTGTTGTCGTCAAAGGGCTGGTAGCAAGTATAGATTTGTTTCTGTCGTCTCCTTCCATGTTTCGAGGTGGCTGAAAAACAAACGAAACTAGCATATTGGAATACAAAGTCTCGCAAGTACCGGTATGCAACCTTGAGTAGAGCTTTGTACTGAGAGAGCATCGAGCGGTGATCAATGGTTAATTTTAGAACGGTTAAACCACAATACAGGGTATTTATTTTCTAAAAATGCATGCGTTCAGAGTCCAATCAGTTTGAAAGAACTTGATTAATAAAGCTGAAGTTCAGTGAGTTGAAGAAACTAGTGTATTCATCGTATCAATTTATTTTCAATATTGATTTATGGCAAGTACTTCAACAGTAACTGCAGAAAATTATTTGGAACTTTTGCAAGTGGTCTGTATGCAACTGTATGAGTGAGCATATCTGCAAAGTAGTTTTATCAAAATTTATTTGAGCGAACGACAAATAAATTATCATTATTTAAAAATAACGTGTTGATGGGATGTAAAAGGCGTACGGTTAAGACAATGAGGGGGTGTATTGGCAGTGAAAAACGTTTGATTTTGTAAAAATTGACCGATATAGAGTTAGAAAATATTGATAATTTTTAGCTAGATAATTTTGCACGTAAAACTCTATTTAGTTTTTCCATATTCTTAATATTGATCCTACTTTTTTGAATATTGATCCTGCAGAATCGTTTCAAAATAACAAATTAATAAATGCTCGAAAAATTAGAAAAGAATTAAACGTGACACATGATCTTACAAAGCGTTTATATTTTAAATATGTTATACATTGATTCAGAATATAATAAATTGAAAGTTGTAACGAATAAATATTCGTGAAATTGCGCTCATATAATACGGAGTGATTTCGATGGAAAAAAGTGAGTGCAAACGTGAGGGAGAAACTGGTCAAATATTCGGAACTGCATTGAGGATAAACACGCATATGTACGATGGAGATAGATTCTTGGCTATTTCAATATCTTGACAGAGATTATCTCACTGTTTTTTTGAAATTTTTCACACTTGTTAGTACAACTTGTCGAACATGCTGAAAATCAATTTTGTGAGGAATACAATTTATAACAGGCTGCCGATTAGTCGCTAAACCCCAGCAATTATTATTGCCGCAACGGCCAATTGGTGTTCTGCTAACTGCGTGCTTGGAGCACGCTAACTCACCTTATGCCGGTGTGCGCTTGCGCCGAGTCCTCGTAGCGATCCAACTCCGATGTTCGTTCTAACCGCTAGAGGTGCTGGTGCGCTCGCTTACCACCGCTCCGTCGGCCGCAGCAGATAACTCGATTGACGAACGACTCTATCAGTCGCACTCGCTATCTATGATGAGTTCTCAGCGCGTTCAAATCAAAATATAAATATAAACATAGACACCGGTGCAAGGTGAGACGGAATAATAAGGTCGTCTCTTATTATTCATGAACCACTTTATTAGACTAACTAAATCTTATACACGGGATGAGTTGCCGAGAGTCTTGGACGCACGCTGTGTATACAAAATTAATCTAACGGGGAGAGAGAGAGAATTAATTTCACGGACGCCGCTAACTAACCGCACGCGCAACAATGTTAACGAATTTCACCGCGCACGCTGCGTGGGATCGCACACAAAATCTACGCAAAAGTGCAGTGCACTTACCGCAAAGATGATTAAGATACGGTGGCCAACTGTATCCGCTTACAAAAACGATGAGCTGCCGCTGCAACCTACTCTTGCTGCTGTTGCTGGGCTGCGCTGCGGATGCTGCTGCAAAGTTGTTGTTGCAGTTGTTGATGCTGTGCACGAGGTGCAGGAAACACTCTTACTCACAACACTCGGCACAGAATATCTATTGTCACTCCTGTAATCCCTTGACACTGTTGTGAAGTACTTGGCGAAGGGCACGATGTAGCAAGGCTGATGAACTCTGCTATACCGACTCGCTAGCTCTCCCCTCCCGGTCTTTGCCCCTAACGCGCGCGCCCTCTCTCTCTCTCTCTCTAACCTACGCCGATCACGGCTATTTCGCATAGCCACGCTTGACGGTCCGCGCGAGTCATAACGATTTTCGGCAATCGTTGCAAATTATAAAGCAAAATTAATTGTCACAGAATCAGACTGGGTCTGTAAATTGCAAAAGAATTATGATAAACTTGAAAATTCTTAAAAAATATTGCATATTCTGTCAGTTTTACCAGCATCATGAATTATTTAAAAAATTATCGAGATCTTCAAATGTTTCTATTTATACAGCGATTTTATCTAAAAAGGTACATTGAAAACATGATATTTTATCTTTTATGTCAGCATGTACTCGTATTCATATAATCGATAATAATTGTATAAATTTAGTAAAATCCTTTTATCGTCTCGATGAAAAACGCCGGCCGTACCCTGGAAGTAGAGATTTTATGATAATGTTACAAGATGGTGTAAAAGTTCAGTTAGAAAAATATTTGTTGACTCATACTTTATCAAAAATATATGAATTATTCAAACAGCAATATCCATATGTTAAAGTTAGTACATTATCGTTTTGTGTCAATGATCCTAGTGAATGCCTTTTAACTCAACTGTTACGTCCCGAGACGTAACTATTTCTTCATTTTGATTTCATCAGCAATCAATTGAAAAACGAAATAATGTATAAACGATGAACGGCATTTTTACAAAATACAAACTCAGCGAAATTAAAAGATGAGTAGTCTGAAAATTTGGGGCGCCCGACATTTTGATTTTTTGATTACTCAACACATTAATATGGGCCAAAGAGTCAATATAAAAACAGAAGACTCGACTTTTCGGCAGTTGATTCGCGACGCGCGACTACTCATTAACATTAAAATTTGTTACAGTTCTTACGAGCTGATTCGCGACGCGCGACAGCCGAATAACGTATAATTCACTCATTGTTATTTTTGAGAAATCATTTCTGTTTTTGAATAAATAAATAATTACTTGAATCGAGTGTTCGTGCATCATTACCGACCGACCTCATATATATTTCATCGAGATAGAGCTAAGCAGCTAATTTAACTCCAAATAATAACCCAGGTAAGTTCCTGTCACTATAATAATTACTAATAAATGAATGATCATACATATTCTAAAACTACACGTCACGGCTACGTAGTCGCGACATAACACAACATTCAAAAGCAGACTTCAAGGTGAGCATTTGCATACACCACACCAACCCGAAGTTAATGCTATAAGCTTTAATCCCACATGTAAAGATGATGAAAAAAGAATTGGATATTCTCAGCAAGTGTAAAGACATTAAAAAAAATATTACGTGAAAATCCAACTGAACTGTGCCATATTAATGAGTGTTTTGATTGTCCTGGATTTTATTTCATTGCAACGAATTTATTATTGACTTTCAAAAAATATGGTATTAAAATCATCAAATGTGCACAATGAATAACTCATCACAAGGATAACGATTTCTCGAATCCTATAATGTACGACCTTCTGGACATGGAATACGATTATCGTAAATATGTTTAGCTCTTCCATCAGATATTTGCAAATAACTTTGTAGATCACGAATTCATAAAAATGTTGGCGATAAGTTAGAACATAAAAGTTTTGTCATCATTTCGGAATGCACCACATATGACAAAAATGCAGAAGCATTGTTCCAAAAAAAGTTTATGTATAGAATTTATAAAAAAAGAGTACAATAATATTATTGAAAAAATTTACTATATGTCTGATGGTGCAGCAAGTCATTATAGAATTTATTAATTTAATTTTTATAATTTAGCTCATCATTATAAAGACTATGGCATTCAGGCAGAATCGCATTTTTATGTCAGTTGCTGTGGGAAATGTGCGTGTGATGGAATCGGAGGAAGGGTAAAGAAACTCACCAGACAGGTAAGTGTACGTGGAAATTGTTTATTTCTAATGACGTTTCGAAGTAATTATTTAGATTTCCTCGTCGGATTATAAAACAACTATATAATTTATTTTTATTTTTTAATTAAAAAATGCGTAAATAATAGTATACAAACGAACGTACTTATCAATAAAGATATTAAAAAATAAAATTGTAATAAAAGTTCAAACTGTTTAGTAAAAGTTTCTAAGTATTACCACACACATTCTACAAGCAAAGACAAACATTCATAAATATTAAAATAATTGAAATAGAAATATCAAAATATTTTGAAATTACTATAATATACACTGCCGGCCAAAAGTTTGGAAACAGTGTTGAAAAAATATGTATTCATGAATTAATTAGGAAATTTATTGATTCACTTGTTTGAAACATAGTATAACAACAAAAAATGTATATTTTACAACAAGAAAAAATATATCTAGACAACAAGAAAAAGTGTATCTAGACATAAAAAGAAAAATACAAAAGTCTATAAAGAAAAGGTATTAATATATCAGATTTTTTTTTCATCAAAAAATCCACCCTTGCTTTTGATGACTGCTCTCACCAACCGTGGCATTCTTTCGATAAGTTTGTCCAAAGTTTCCTGTTCCAGAGAAGCCCACGCCTCTCTTAGCTTCTCCCATAAGTCTCCAGCGGATGTTGGACAACATGTTCTTATTTTTCGATCGAGATCTTCCCACAGAAGTTCGATCGGGTTGAGGTCTGGCGATTGCGGCGGCCATGTCATATTTTCCAAGACACCATCAGCTTTTTTTTGCTCTAAATAACTGCGGCAGAGGATCGACGTATGTTTTGGGTCGTTGTCTTGCTGGAAGACAAAACCACGGCCGGGTCCTCTTAATCCAGAGGGAATCGCATGACGAACGAGAATATTTTTATATTGCTCTTTTCTCATTATTCCATCAATTTTCACTAAATCTCCGGTTCCATGGCCAGAAAAACATCCCCACACCATCACTGAGCTACCTCCATGCTTCACAGTAGGCACTATACACTGAGGTGTCATTTTTTCGGACGCACTTCTTCTCACATAAATTCTACATGGAGAGCCAAATATTTCATACTTGGATTCGTCACTCCAGAGCACATTTTTCCATTGATCCATCGTCCAGTTTCGATGCCTTTTAGCCCATTGTAGTCTTTTCTTTTTATTCTCTTTACGTAGTAATGGTTTTTTCACTGCAACACATCTTTTGAGTCCGGCAGCGTTTAATCTTCTTTTTACAGTTGTTAGTGAAACCGGTTTTTCACGACTTCTGTTGATGTCTGCGCATATTTCGGGAGCTGTTAACCGTCTATTCCGTTTACTGGTAACCACTATATGCTTACCTTCGCGAGAAGTAGTTACTTTTGGACGTCCGGTTCGAGGACGATCGTGATGATTACCCGTGTCTTCAAATCTTTTGATCGTTGAATGCACACCTTTCAATGAAATTTTCAATTTTTTGGCAATTTCACGATATGAGATACCTTCATTATGTAATGCCAATACAGCTCCCCTTTTTTCAAGTGGAATTTCTTTACGTTTTCCCATGACTGAGCCGTATAATATAAATATGTAAGCCAAAACTTTTACAAATTCCTAAATAAAAAAAAATATTCGAGACAACTTAAAGACGCTTACAGTTTTGACTCAAATGAGGGAAATCAAATACAAGACTTATAAAAAAACAATACTGACAAACCAAAGTAATATGGATAAAAGTTTAAAGCCAAAAAAGGAAACAAAAGTAGAACATCACAATAAATTTCTCATCGATAATAAACTCTCATATCGTCAATATTATGAAAACAAACGGTCTGGCAAAAATTCTAAGTTCATACTACTTTTATCTAAAACCTTAACCCTCAAGTTACCTGGAAAGGCTTGATTCTGTGTCATTATGAGCAAAAAATACTTTTTTCGAGGCAAAACTCCTGGAAAAATACATATTTCGAAATCCGAACGAAGTGTTTCCAAACTTTTGGCCGGCAGTGTATTTTGAAATTTTTAAACCATATTTATAAATATACGAGGTGTGTTCAAAAAGTAAGGTGACTTTTCAAATTTCACGGGCAACGTACTTTCGATTATCGATTTTTTTGTTTTGTTATGTTGGTACACTCTTCCCGAACATCTGTACCAAGTTTCAAGTGTATAGAATTTTTTGTTTGGTTGTGAGAGGCGTAAAGGTTATAAATGTTTTGCGTGCTCGGCGATTTCTTGCTATCGAAAAATATGGATCAAAGTTTGCATCAAATTTTGTGTAAAAAATAAAATAGAGTGCTCCGAAACACTTAAAATGTTGACGGTGGCATACGGTGAAACTGTTCTGAGTAAAAAAAATGTTTACAAGTGGTACAAACTCTTCCAAGATGGCCGGGAAGATGCCAATGACGAGCCTCGCTCTGGACGCCCAAGCACGTCAACAACTGATGAAAACGTTCAAGCAGTGAAGAAAATTGTTCTGGAAAATCGTCGAACCATTATCAGAGAAGTTGCTGAGGATGTTGGTATATCGCTTGGTTCGTGCCATGAAATTTTTTCTAACGTTTTGGGCATGAGACGTGTGTCAGCGAAGTTTGTTCCGAAATTGCTAAATTTTGACCAAAAGAACCGTCGCATGAGCATTGCTCAAGAACTGTTGAATAACGTCAACGACGACCCAGATTTACTCAAAAGGTTTACTCAACTGGTGACGAATCATGGGTATATGGTTATGATATCGAAACCAAAGTCCAATCGTCCCAATGGAAGAGCCCAGATGAACCAAGACCGAAAAAAGCACGCCAAGTTCGATCAAATGTCAAAGTTTTGCTCACTGTTTTCTTCGATTACCATGGCGTGGTGCATCAAGAGTTCTTACCATATGGACGTATGGTCAATAAACAGTATTATCTTGAAGTTATGCGCCGTTTGCGAGAAGCAATACGAAGAAAACGCCCAGAATTGTGGAAAAACAAGTCATGGCTTTTGCATCACGATAATGCCCCTGCTCATCTTTCCTTGTGAGAGATTTTTTGGACAAAAAGAACACCACAATCATACCTCAGACACCATATTCACCGGATTTGGCCCCATGTGACTTTTTCTTGTTCCCAAAACTAAAGAGACCTATGAAAGGACGGAGATTTGCAACGATTGAAGAGATAAAGACTGCATCGCTGGAAGAGCTCAAGGCTATACCGAAAAGTGCTTATGAGAAGTGCTTTGAGGATTGGATAAACCGTTGACATAAGTGTATTGTATCTGAGGGGAATTACTTTGAAGGGACAACATAAATATTTTTTTTTAAAAATACAAAGTCACAGTACTGTTTGAACACACCTCGTATAATATAATATCCGTATAAGCATACTGTGAAACCATATCTATCAAAGTACGAAAAACGCACTAACTTTAATAACTTTAGTGCGATTCAAGACTGACTAAGTAAGCATATACGTCCATGGAGGTGGAGGACTATTAGGAAGGGGAAGAACAGCACAGAAATATTGATTATATGTATGTAAATTTTAGGTTTATCTATTATAAAGATGTACAATGAAACGTATTATGATTCTGTAATATGTAAACGGAATATTTATAAGATCTACAATTTATAAATCTATTCCTGAACAATTCAATCAACCGTTAATTGATAATCATCAATCGGAAATCTGATAAACTATAAGTCAAGAAATCAAAAATTAAATTGTAATAGTAATATTGCAATGTATGTTTCAGGCCGCTCTGCGGGGGGTCCGTAATTCTTTGGTCCCCTGGCCTAATCCTTTTATGTTAATAATAATTATTATTGTTAATAATTATTATTAACAATATCTGCGGGGGTCCCTGGCTTAACCTGTTGGTCCCATGACCTAATCCTTATAAGTTAATTATTATTTATATTAATAATTATTTATATTTTTTGAGAAAGGGTTTAATATTGAGAAAGGTTCGTAGGGCCCTTTGCCCTAGGGACCCTACCTAGTTCTTCCTATCTTATTTATTTAAATGTATTTTTTAAAAGTTATAAATATTATTGATAATTTAATTGCTACATTGAAAGTGAATAGAAAGTGATAATTGAAAAAAATCAAGCGACAGATAAAAGAATTGAACCGGCGTCCTTTCGGTTGGCAGGCTAGCGCTCTACCACTAGAGCGATAACCACATGTACCTTAGAGAATGCTTATTATGTATATTAGCTACACTTATATATTTGGTATAGGGCCGGAGTATACGGAGTACGAGCTCAGCTTGGCTTCGCGGTCTTCTCTCTCTGTCTGTTTGTCTGTGTGTCTGTCTGTCTCTCTCTCTCTCTCTCTCTCTCTGTCTCTATCTCTCGCTCTCTTGCTCTGACTGAGCGTGGTTTTACACCACGACGCGCGGAGGAGGAGGGGAGCGCGTGCTCTAGCTCTGGCTCAGCGTCCCTTGGGACCACGGCACGTGAAGGAGGAGAGGAGCGCATGCTCTCTATAGTTCTCACTTAGAGATGCGCTGCTATAGTAGTAAACGCGTGCTCTCCTATTCCACGGAGGGAGCTGCATTTACTAGCATAGCTGTTTTCGTGAGAATGCTAGAGACAGCGAGCGCAGACGCTCGACTGTCACCTCCTTGAGTTGTTCCTCCTAAACACCTCTACTAGGAGAGAATCTTATTTACATCCATTCACCCTTTCTTGTAATCGCTTGGTTGTTCACTTCTTGAGATGTAATGTCTGTACTAAGAGAGTATCCTATACTTCTCACGCATGACTATTTTATTGTGACGAGAGCAAGCTTTGCGCTTGTTCTCGTCGGAATTTTTCCAAGTTCCCCTCTCCGAAGAAACCGAGAGTAGAAGACGACTTGGTCCTGCATCTACTCGAAACGCTACCTGGGAAGCCGGCAGGAGTTTCCCAGCGACGACCTGCAACACCGTGCGCAGAGCGCAGCCAGGACTCCCGCTCCAGAATCAAAGGTCAAGTTCGCAAATTAATCTCTTTTTCTCTTTCTCTCTCTCTTCAACGACGGCACTGTGCGTAAATTTCAATATTGGGTAGGTAGCAAGGCGTGCACACGCCGGCTACCTACCCTAATTACGGTCGGGTAATAAATCATTCAAAGCGAAATCGTCCAGGCGACTTTCTCTTTTAGCTAAATAGCCTAAGTCGGTTTGTCGTAAAGGCGGTCATCTGCGGGTGACTCGCGTTGTGTTTTCTATAGATTTGTAGGCGCGATTAGTTAGTTAATTTGTTCTCTTTTGTAATAGGTGTAAAGAACGTCGTTGTGTTTATCAGATTAAGAGTTTGTGTAATGCGGCTTATTCTTACGCGATTTATTAACGTGCGGTATTGTGAAGTTTAAGTGTAATTTAACTTTTATTTGATTTAATTAGATTTGTTAAAATGCGAATTTGTATTATGTGTGTATAATTTATTAACCATTTTCATTTCTTTGCCTCATCCTCCTTCCCGCCTCAATTGCTATGAACGAGTGCGCCTCGCTTGCCCACCTTTAAATAATGGTTAATAAACGAGCTTCCGTTACATTATTATTGTAATTAGTTAAATATTAGTTAAATAAGTTCACATTTTATTGTTTATTTAATATTTTTATTTTTATTTATACATTGAGTTTTCGTACACTTTGTCTATAATTTTTATATTCAGTATCCGACATAGCTATTGCAACGATTACCGAAAATCGTCAGACTCGCGCGAGGTTAATGAGCGGCTAAACGAGAGGAGCCGCGTTTGGTTCGCGAGAGAGAGAGAGCGCGTAGGGGCAATGACCGGGAGGGGAGGCTCCGACCGGCAGTATGACTGTGCCACTCAGTCTGTCAGCGTCGAGCTAGCCTTTTTCAAAGTATTCCCGGACCGAAGTGCGAAGCTGAGAATTGCGAACTTGAGTGCGTGGGTGTACTGGGTACAGTAGCAGCAGCAATAGCAGCAGTAGCAACAGCAGCAACAGCAGTAGCAGTGACAGCAGCAACAACAACAGCAGCAACAGTATTCGAGGCGGTACAGCGAGCAGCGAAGCGGCGTTCCAGCAATTTGTTGTTCGGATACGGTTGGCCACCGTATCCTCATCGTTCTCGCGGTAGGTGCACCTTCCCCCTTTTTACCGTTGTAATTTGCGTGCGATCCCGCGCAGCGTGCGCGAGGAAAATTAGTTGTTGCGTGCGAGCGGTTAGTTCGCGGTAATCGCGATTTTCTCTCTCTCTCAATCTGCGTGTGTTGTCATTCGCGCAAGCGTGCGTAAGTCTCTCGGCAAAACCCTCGTGTAACTAAGTTGCATAAATAAAGTGAATATTAATCGTCATCTTCAAGTTAAATAGTCGTTATTGTGTCATTCCTTTGTCCGGAGGTCGCGTCAGTATTTGTTTACAGTAGATTCGAATTCGCCGGTAGCGTAGCACGAATCACGAAAATAGCGATAGGCGCGAATCTTCAACTTGGATTCCAGCGGCGGCCGCATTAGCGCTACTAGTAAGGGCGACAGCGCCGCCAAGCGGTGAGTTGGGGGAACCCAGCTCGGAATAGTAAAGAGATTCTGCGCAGGCGCACTCCGAGACAAGGTAGGTTGCTG